CTTCTATCTCTAATCCGCCTTCATATGTATCACACAATTCATCACAACATATATGAATAATAGACATCAATAGGCCTTGCGGTTTTGTCATGGCCATATTAATACTAATCCCATTGGCCCACATTAAGGTAGCTCAGCATCCCCATAAATCATCAATCGTAAGCCATCTCTAAGATTGCAAGAAATACCCTAAGGTATACCAAATAGTCCTATTTCTAGGAAAAAAAACATGTAAACTACAGGGAAAAAAAATTTCAAGGTTAATGAAAGACATTAAAAAACAACAACGTTGGTCAACAAAAAATGTTACTAGATAAAAAGCAAATCATAATAGGAACACTTCCAGTGATTCTTATTATTGAACTCAACATAAACTGTTAGTACCTCAAATAACTAAAAAGTATGAAAATGACTTCGGAGTGATATCCAACTCACTAAAAATGAGTTTTATCAACTTCAACTAAGAAAGCTAAGGTAAATAGCAAATACAGGATATCATAATTCAATTGAATTATAGAAATAACTGATGGAATCTCGAAGAAAAGTTCACAAAAGAAAAAATGACAATTCTAGGTTTCTAATGAATTGAGAGTTCCATGAACATTGCATATTTCAACCAAAATCAGCAAAACGACCTAAGCCAAGTTAATTTTCAAGTAAAAATATGTTAAAACTCAAAAATCAATTACTTCTAATACTAAAAAAATGTCCAATCACACATTTTTAAAAACATCAATACTATTTCTCATTGATGACTCGATCATATATCTTCTAAATTGATTTCCAATAACAACATGATTTTTCTCTCCATATTTCATAATCTTTCACACAATGTATTCCTTATAAGTTCAATTGCACTTTAATCACCATAATCCTTTACACCTCATGTGACCTTAATATTGGCACCACCATACTCATCTTCCAATCATTAGCATCATAATAGTCTTAAAGATCCCATTGAAAATAAAAACAAAACAACTCTAATATCTTTCATGAATCTCCCAATATAAAGAGGTCTAAAGTTTTACACCTTTCTGCGTGCAATTTTAAAAAAAGTGAAGTTCCTTTTTCAGGATCAATCAGCTTGTCAGACTATAATATAGTTCATAATCCTATTTATTATGTTTTATAATATAGGTTTGCTTGTCAGTCTATAATATAGTTCATAATCCTATTTATTATGTTTTATACAAAGAATTCTTCTTTAATAATCTCTATTAAAATTATGTTTTATAATTTTCATGTTCACACCTATGTGCTTGCATATGTGCGCTACATCATTGATGGCTACCTCTTTACAGGAATTATAGCTATCATAGAATCATTGTAAGCCTCGATTATATATATATATATATATATTTGATAGATATTAGAAAGCTCAAAAAGACTAATATATTAACTAGAAAGAAAGATACAGATACAATGTGTTGAAGGGCCTAAACATGGCACCCAGTTCACACCAAAATCACAAGTGGTTTTAAAACTAGAAAATACAGAAAAGTACAGTAGAGACATAAAGAAAAAGCCTAAACATGTTGAAATAAAAAATATCAAGTGGGTAGAGAGCAATCCAATTTGATTTTGTCTCTGCCTCTGGTTCTAGGGAAGTAACAAGCTAATAAGTTGGTAAGATGATTGTCATTGCCAGTGGTAACCAATGTATCATCCAATATGTTCCCTAGCTGGAGTCGGCCTCCATTCGGTAGTCTGCCTCCATTCTTCTTCTTCCTCCTGGGATATACATGTCATTCATCTTCCGAAGATTGCTCACCTGATCTTGATCTACCGTGTGCTGGAGATGTGCAGATTGTTGAACATTAAAAGCAGCAACATGTTATACCGGCTGATCTGCTATTGAATCAAAGGAGCACTCACGTGTGTCTTGGCATGTGAGGGAGTCTTCTTCAATAACAGTGGACAGTATAAGCACAACTGGATTTGTAGTTGTAGTATGTTGTTCTTCTTCAGGAACTGCGGTGTTGGGAAGAGGATCGGGTTGCGTTTTCTCAACTGAAATAATAAGTGGTTGTTCTTTAGTAATATTCGGTCTTAGATGAAGATGTAAGCGATAGCAAATAGTAGAGTTGTGGTCAAACATACTACAATGAGAGCAATAAGCAGGGTGTGGTTCGATTTCAACCATTTGTCGATACCCGTTGTGAGCGGTTCCAATCCACAGCTCATCCGGAGCTGGTTAAATGATATCTCTCTCAACTAACATATAAATCACAGAGGGTCTGATGATAGCAAGCGTAGGAATATCAACCCTGAGAGGTTTACCGTAAACAGTTGCTAAGGAGAAGAGAATTTTCAAATTGAACAGATGTAATTTTAACCCCGGAAATTTTATCCAAACAGGAATGATAGGGGACTCAGCCTTTGGGTCGAATTCAACAGTCAACTTCAGAATATTCATATAACGGTTATCGATCTTGATAACTTTCCGAGAAAAGATGCAGATATAATCAACATCATGAGACAACTGAATCAGTATATGTCGACCGTCAAATAAACCAATATTTCAACTGCCTAATAGTTTCAAAGACTCAAACTCTTTCCGAATGATCTCCAATTTTGGATTACCATAAAGAAATTTTCTCACTAGAGCAAAACGTCAATAGGACGTGAGAGTACTGGTTTCAACCTCTGTGAGAATAAGAGCAGACTTCCTATTTTTTTCCCCAATTTTTTTATGAAGTGTGATCACCACCACCTTCAAGAGCATCATGAAAAGATTGAGGAAAATTGCAAGATTTACCTATACGAAAATCAGTCTCTAATTATGAAAGAGGAGCACGAATAGGAATCGAGAGGTCGCCGGCAAGTGCAGCAGCATAAGAACGGATAGCCTTGTCGGACAGAAAAGAAGCGGGGAGACTTCGTCTGAAATGAAATGCGAACAGAGCAGTGTGAAAGTGACCAAGCTAGCAGAGCAGCAGCTCTGTCGCCAGACCAAGAGCGACCAAGCTAGCAGAGCAGCAGCTCTGTCGCCAGACCAAGACGAGAGGACTGCGAAGGAGGCGTCCTACGGAAGCTGCGAAGGAGGCGTCCTGGGCAGACGAGGACGTCGTCTGGAAGGAAATGCGATATCTCAGCCTGCCTCATCGTCTGGATGTGAAGACGGGACACGAAGACGCTACGCGAGCACCCGTCGATGAAGACGAAGCAGGGAATAGAAATGGGAGGGCCGTGTAGCCATGAGGCGAAACCCTAGCAGAGGGGAACAAAACCATGTCGGCAACCTTTATGTGTGTGTGTGTGTGTTTGTGTGTGTGTGTGCGCCGACCTTTATGTGTGTGTGTGTGTGTGCGCGCGCACGCGCCATTGCATGCATGCAAGAGCACACCCATGCATACACAGAAGTGCATTTATTTATATGAATAAATATTGTTGTGTTTGCCCTCTTCAAGCCATTCAATCAAAAGTGTGGACTTTCATTATTCTTTTTATTAAAAGCATTGAAGGTGCCTGCCACATTGAAATCACCAAATGTAAGAATGTGTTGTGATGTCCAAACTATCAAGTAATAGATATATTCATATAGGTTGAGTTTGGATGCTAAGAATTTGATTACAAGAAAATTAAAAAAGAGTAGAAAAGCTTAAATCAATAGCTACAAATTCATAATGAACCAACAAAAAATTGGAATTTTAATTCATTTCCTTCAATCTAAACATATTATACGAATAAAAAATATAAGCTATTATCTAATTTATTTGATCAAGTGCTCTTACTTTCAAGTGTAAAAATTATAATAAATGATCTATTTAAATAATTCAAGAAAGTAAAATGAATAATCCAAGGAAATAACAATGTGGGTGTTTAGATATTTCACTATGTAGTTAAATATATAGTTTTCCCTAAAAATTCTCAAAGATAATGAACACACAATAGCATTAAAAATCACTAATATCTTTTAATTATTTATGTGTGTATTTTAAAACTATCCTTAAACTTATTTTGAAGCATCATATAAATAAATTTTGCAAAGTAAGTTGAGATAAAAAAATATTAAAATTAAAATAAAAAATTCAACACAATTTATGGGCCTCTGTTTAGATTAGTAAGTTTCCGCAAGCTACGATCGCCACACTACAAAATGGTGAAGGCTCAAGTCTATAAACTTAATGATTAAGCGACCTAAACAAAAATAATAATAATAACGAGTCCAAAAGAAAAATACTTTAAAAGCCTCCACAAACTTATTTTGGGTACCATTTAATCTATTTTTAATTTTTTTTCTAATTGAACAAAACTAGTCCACTTATCATAAATGGAATCATTTGGCTAACATATTTCGAATATATATATATACACACTGATGATTGGTAAAAAAAGATGCATCGTGTCGCTCTGCTAGGGGTCGATGCGGGTAGCCACAACGGTTCGTAGACTCCTGCTCGAAGAAGAAGGGTGGGGGATCGTGCCGTTGTGCCCCAGCCGCTCGTTCTTTCACTTTGTTTCGCTCTTCGGTATCATTCGTTGGATCGCATCATTTTTTGGATCGTCTCACGAGCTCACTGGCAAGGTAGCGGCGGACAGTAGTTAATCAACATCTAGAAATTCAAACATAGGACAGCCCCTCATAAATTGGCTACAAAGGCACGGGATGCTAATGTCCATTGTTTGCAAATGCAAGTTCAACTTACTATAAATCAAATTTTCCTAATACAACGTATTTATATAGTTGGACTCAATCTTAAATATTATCAGCCTTGTGTTAGATCCAAAAGGTCGAAAATGAAGTTCACTGCACTGTATTCTAACTTCATCTTCCCATTTCAGAGACTCAATGAGTATACATCTATACGTCATCTAAACCCCCCAGATGAATCATAACACATTGATTCGTGGCACTGCTGAACAATGATAAAAAACTTCTATGAATAAGTTTGCTACGGAGCAAATTAAATCTTTTGGATCAAAGAAAGGTGAATTGAATCTAGTGTTTCATTTATCGCAAGCATGAAAAGCCAGAGATGGGGAAAAATCCTGCTTACCACAAAAGTTTTTCTTCTTCTAATCCTGTCAACTTGAAAATTTTGCCCTTTGATCTTCTTTTCCTTCCCAATCTCGTTAGTCTCGAGCCATCTACGTCTTCTCGCTAGATCTCAACCTTCCAATCTCTCTTTTATGTTAACTACGATGAACACCACAACTAAACAAGCAATAATGATTGTCCGTTAAACTCGTGAAAGTCTAAATGACAGCCACGCAATTTAAGAAAAAAATTTTATATACATACGGGGCATTTACTTACAAAAACTGTAGCTATCCCAAATCAACATCTTCCAGGTTCCATGTATCGATAAGAACTGATTCCACAATCGAACAAATACATGCAAGATTACCTGCCACTTAACTTCATACATAAAATAAAAAACTGAAAGGATGCGGAATACCAAACAACAAAAACTAATCATTACTCAAAACGAGAGCGACAAATCATTTCAAATTTTAAAAGAGTAGACAAGTCTAACAAAGAACTAGAAGACTTAGTAACAGCCTTAGTAATTAGTACCCTCAGAAATCGCATGCTTAGCAAGTTCACCAAGAAGAAATACGTGAACAGAACTCTGGATCACCCTGAACATATATACAATACGAGAAAATGGAGATGCGTCTTAACAGGAGGGCAAGACTATTTACCAAAACTCTATAAAAATCATCACGGACCTCTGTAGCCTCAAGCCACCAATTAAAAAAGAAAACTTTCCACTTGAAAACTGGAAGCCCTAACAGAACCGCCAAGTGAAAAACCCCAAAACAGTATGGCATACCTGAGGCTGTCCAAGGGCAGGCAAACGGCCGACGAACGGTAGGCCAACGTCGGCGTCGATCTGGGAAGATTGAAAAGACTTGCGAACGAGAGAGAAGAACGGGATTGGGAATCGAACAGGGTTTCTGTAGATCCCCTCTTCGTTTACTGCAAATAACGAACCGGGCGAGTTTTTTAAGCCGGCCCCGGTTCTCCCATTCCACGGTTGAACCGGCCGTTCTCTTGTTTCAGTGTTGAACCGGGGGTTCAAGTTTTCTAAGCACTTTTTTTCTTTTTCTTTTTTTATTTTTACAATTATATCATTTAATTCTTTCACATCACATTAAAATTACCCTCATTTTCATATTTAAAAGATAAAATACAATTTTTCATGTATAAAAAAATATATTGTTTGTAAAAATATGTAAATAAATAGGAATTAAATGACATGCATGATACTATTAAATATATAATTAAATAATTTATATTTAATTTAATTTAATTTAAATATTATATCATATAAAATATAAAACATTTAATAAGTTTTTTATAGAATAATAATCAATTTGTTTAAATTTGATTCATTTAATTTTTAGATTTTTAAAATTATTTAAATTTATTTATCTATTAATTTGAACAAATATCATGAAATTGAATTCGGATGTGTGAATATTATGTGTGGAATTCACATATATAAATATTGTGTATAATGAACATAATCATAATATCATTAACCTCGCACATATCCTTACCAATCTCATCCACACTTAGGGTTGTAAACGAACCGAGCTTGAGTGAGCTCAGGCTTGACTCGTGTTTAGCTCGTCGAAATAGCTCATGTTCGAAATCGGTTAGTGAACAGTGTGTTCGTGTTCCGCTCGATTAAAATAATCGTGTTCGTGTTCGGCTCGAAATTGGCTCGTTAAACTTAAATTGAGAAAAATAGATGTAAAGTATGGGATTCGAACCTGGATCAAATATATACAAAATAATGAACTAACCAAATTGCTACATGAGGTGTTATGAATTAAACTTAGACATAAATATATATAATATATTATTATACAAATAATATATGTAATATATTGTTATATAAATAGTTATATAATTTTTTTTTTAAAACGAGCCGAACACGAGCGAACAAATAGTTGTTACGCGAACAACGAGCTTTTTTGACGGCCCTATCCACACTGAGGGGTTGTTTGGTTTCAAGTAGGATTCAATTGAAATATTATTTAGTAAATCTTGTAAATCAGGAATTATAAAATTTTGTATGTTGGTATGTAAATCCTGATAATTCTAGTTAAAACAAAGGTTCACAAGTTTTCTAAATAGTTAAGTGTGTGAAGTGGTTTTGGGCAAACCAAAATCTAGGGACCGGTTCGAGCTCGAACAGGCTGATTTTATCCAATTTTAAAGCATTGCTATTTATAATAAAATGTTGCATTACAATGTTATAATTATGAGGTCATTTGGTTTGCAAGGAAATGAAATATAATGTAAAATATTTATATAATACTTTGATTACAGTGTACTAATATTTTGAAGCCGTTTAGTTGATGATAAAATAAATTGAGGAAAACTTTTTTTTTTTATTAAATGCATGCAAAATAATATATTTTGAATGTTTTAGGGTCTGTTTGGGGCAGCTGCAGCTTATTGAATAATCTGTTGATAAGCTGATTAAAAATAATCAGCTGATAAGCTAGGTGCGATGACTATTACAAATTTTTATTTTTTTTTGAAAAGTCAGACTGCTGTCAGAAAGTTTACACCACACCTAGATAGGTGCGATGTGAAAAAACTTTTTTTGGCGTTTTGAAAACGCATAAGCTGCCAAAAAACAGTTTACCCAAGTAAGTCACCGCACCAAATAAGCTGTCCCAAACGGATCCTTAGTCGAATCATAAGTTGTTCTAGTTCCATTCTAGCTTGAGGGGAGCTTTTCATATAAATGTTTCTATTTGGCTTGTTTAATTTTTTTAAAGATCCTATTTGATTTGAATATGACTTGTTTATATTAATTGAATAATTTATAAATAAAATTTAGTATTTAATTTCCCATGTAAAATTAAAAGATCAATTTATACTTTATTTTTCATATAAATTGTAATTGCGCTAAAAATATGAATGAGTACTTAGATTTTTTTAAGAGAATTATTGACAAATGATTTTATATATTTAAATAAATAAGTAACTTATCTAATTTTTTTAAAGATCCTATTTGATTTGAATATGGCTTGTTTATATTAATTGAATAATTTATAAATTAAAATTAGTATTTAATTTCCCATGTAGAATTAAAAGATCAATTTATACTTTATTTTTCATCTAAAAATTGTAATTGCGCTAAAAAATTGAATGAGTAATTAATTAGATTTTCTTAAGAGAATTTTTGACAAATGATTTTATATATTTAAATAAATAAGTAATTCAATAAATTTTAAAATAATATATAAATGATTTATATTTATTAAATAAAAATATATATAAGATGTAATTAAAATTTATTACAAACAAGCAACATAAATAAATATTAAGAGATCATTTATTTGAAAAAAATAATTAAAACTCGTAGATTTTAAATTATATGGGCATTTACATACGTACTACACAAATCTTATGAATTTACATTAACTTCTAAATTTTGATTTTTACAATTATACCGCTCAAATATTTCACATCACATCAAAATTACTACTATTTTAATTTTTAAAAGATAAATTACACATTTTCATGAATAAAAAGACCGATATGTTTGTAAAAATATGTAAATACATAGAAATTAAATGGCAAGTGTGTTATTATTAAATATGTAATAAATAAATAAGTTATATTTAATTAAACTTTGTTTAAATAGTATATCATATAAAACTTAAAACATTTAATAAGTTATTTATAGAATAATATTCATTTTTGTTTGAATTTGATTCATTTAATTTTAAAATTTTAAAAAGTATTTAAATTTATTCATTTACTAATTTGAAAAAAAATCATGAAATTGAATTCTGAGCCGATATTATATGATAATGTAATGATATCATATCCTCACCGATCTTATCCAAACTTAGAGGTTGTTTTGCTGCGAGCATGATTTAGTTTAAATGTGATTTAGTAAATCTCGTAGAACCTCAGTTGGTGAAATCCTGAAAACTATTTGGTATGTTAGTAAGTAAATCCTGATAAATTTTGAGAAACTATTTGACTGCTTTAAAGATTTAACAAGGTTTGTCAATATTTATTAAACATTAAAAGATAAATATTAAATAAAAAAAAGTTAAAAAAGTATCCAAAGCCTCAAAATATATAAAAAGAAACATTAACATTAATTAATAATAGTTATATAAATTAATAATTTTGTTAAACTAATTACTTATAATTAATATATTAGCATTAATCAATTATTAATGATGTAATTTAAAATTTTTTTTAGAAATTTGTTGAATAAATTAATATTAAAAAAAATTTATTTATTACTTAAATATTAAATAATTACATATAGATTTATGTAATTTTAATTAATTTCATAATTTTAAAATTATTTATTTTTTATTAATAAATTAAAATAATAAAATTAAGTTAAATAAAAATAAATTAAGATTACAAACCTATTTTCTTATTTCTCTGTTTCCCCGTAACCCTCTTCTGGCTCTCATGGCTTTGTCCAAACCTTCCCATCTCTGCTCAAAACTCTCGCTTATGTCACTCTCTCTATCGATTTCACCCAAAATTATTGCCTTCTTGAATGAACCAATGTCATACAGTCCTTTTTAGAGTTAGCTGAGAAGGAAACGATGAGATCTCGATTTACAGAGATGACGAAACTCTCATCTTTCTTATCCTTCCCATTCACTCCTATCGGAAACCATTGAAGAAGATAAACCTTTTTGTGTCATTCTTTCTCTTAGTTCATTCTGAATTTACAAAATTTATCGATTCACAGAGCCCATCTCTTCCTCATGATTTCAATTAGGATTTAGTTGAAATAAAATTTAATAAATTATGTAAATTCAGATTTAGCAAATCCCAAGGTGATTAAATCCAGAAATCCGCTTAATATGCTACCAAGTAAATCATGATAAATCATATGAAATAGTTTGACAACTTTAGAACGATTTAGCAGGATTTATCAGGGATATCATTCAAAGATAAATATTAAATAAAAAAATATAAATAAATATCCATAACGATCGACTTACTTCGCCACATCCTCCCCTCCTAGTTTCGCCCACAACAATTGACTTCATGATTGAACATTTACGATACACTTGTTATCATAGCTAGCTCGAAAGGCAACAATAAGATCGTGGCTTGCAGAACCGAAACTCCCATCTTTCTCATCCGTTAGCTCCTACCAGAAACCATTGAGAAAGTAGTATGTTGACACCATTCTTCCTCTCTGCTCATCTTAGATTTACTAAGGGTGTGTTTGGGACATTTTGTGCGTTTGAGGATAAGCAACTTATCCAGAAACTTGGCCTGAGGGTCGACCGCGGGGTTCAACCTGCGACCTGTTTTTAGTGTAAAAATGGAACCACATTTTCAGATAAACAGACAAAACACACGATCCAAACGACACCGCAGCGTTTTCAAAAACGCCCCCCGCACTTATAAGTTGTCCCAAACGACCCCTAAATCCGCCAATTGACAGCACCGTTTGGGGTTGTTTATTTAGTGCGACGTCGCTCTCAAAATACACCCGACCTGTTTTGGTAAACTATGTTTTGGCAGCTTGTGCGTTTTCAAAATGTTGAAAATAGAGTTTTCAAACCGCACTTATCTAGATGTAGTGACAACTTTCTAACTATAATCTAACTTTTACATGAAAAATAAAAATTTATAATAACTACCCGGCCTAGCTTTATAGCATATTATTATTTTTATTATTATTTTTTGCAGGATTTTTAATATTATTTCGATTCTCATCATTCCGATTTCAGACACTCCATCGTCATGCCTCAACTTGCTGAAGCCAGGATCAATCGCTTTCAAGTTTTTAGGGATGCCCGCGGTGGAATAGAAGATGTCCATTGTTGATTGTTGAACCTCTCACGGGGCTTTTCTTCTTCGTCGTCGCTACTATTCGAAACTCTCCACCGCTTCTACTTTGCCATCCCTGCACTCTTAACTATTTCAGAGCTTTCGCTGGAACCCTAAACCTAGATGGATGCTGCGGCGCTTTCACGGATCGGGCTGGCGGGAATTGCCGCACTTTTTCAGTACCGAGGATTGGGGTTTGTGTTCCTCAGAAAGTTCACACATTTCCAAATGGTTAAAACCTTCCTTCCCGCATAATGGCAAGTTGCTCTTCCACTCATCTATTTTTATTCTTCTTTTTGTTCTCCTTCTCGCTCACTTGTTTTCTTCTTCTTTGTGCTTCCCCATTGGATCGTGGTTGATCCGATCAGGTAAATCCCGGCTGTCTGGTAACGTATTTAGAGCAGCATTTAACTTGGATGCATGCTAAATATTGTCAGATTTCATTGCCAGACAATTTTTAGGGATGTAACCCATTCAGATATAGTAAATCTAGATTTACGGGATTTACTAAATTCTGATAACTTAAATTTTATCTTTTGCCAAACAGTTCTCTCTTATAAATCGTGGTTGATCCCATTGCTATTTTCTCATTCTATAATGATACCTCTGACCTCAGACATCCAAGGCTCCACCATTTGTCTAATGCAAGCCTTTTTAACTCCACCCGAGAGCTATCTCAATGCTCAATTTGAGTACCAACCCCAATCAAGCATTCACCTTTATCATCTCTGATACCCCATAACAACTAAGAGTGATGGAAGAAGGGCCTCATCTATGTTAACTTTTAACTATCCATGTGCTCCATCTAACATCAAATAGATTTTATTACAGGTTCTACCCTAGCAAATCAACCTCACTACAGGATGAATCCAAAAGAAAATCAACAAAGAGACTGTGGAGGATCTACTGCAAAATAACTCATTTGGCATAGCCTTAGTCTTTGCATCATTTTGGCTCTTATCATTCCTATAAGGGATTGGACGTGGCAAATTCACGTTGAATGCAATTAATAAATCAGTCTAGTTTCATTTTCTTATGCCAAGACCTAGAAGAACTTTTAAATAGATTAAGTGGAGCAAATTATTTTTCTAAACTAACTTTTGTAGCGGCAATTACTAGATTCGGATTCGTGAAGGAAGCATGTGAAAATGATATCCAAGACCCGAGAAGGTCTCTGAATGGTGAGTCATGCCTTTTGGCCTGCTTAATGTGCCTAGCACTTTCTTGCGGCCAATAATGCACGAGTACTCAAACCTTTCCTTGGACATTTTAATGTGGTATATTTGATATTTCTGGGTCTCTCATTGAATGCCCACGTACAACACCTAGGATTGATTTTAACGACACTTCATGATCACAACTTTTTCTTGAACCTTCCAAAGTGCGAATTTGTGATGGAAGAGGTGCATTTTTTGGTCTTTTTTTTGTCCAAACTGGGAATTAAAGTTGATCTGAGAAAGGTTGAAGTTATTAAATCCTATCCGATGTTAACCACTGGCACTAATGTATGGAGTTTTCATGGGCTTGCAAATTTATTTCGTAGGTTTGTTCGGAATCTCAACATCATCATTCCTTCAATTAGTGATTGCCCGGAACAAATATTGTTTGGGCAGAGGAACAACAATCCAGTTCTGCAGACATGAAGGAGTGACTAAGCTCAACCGTTTTAGCCATGTTAGACTTTGACAAACCTTTTCAGGTGGGTTGTGGGAGTAGAAACTGTACTTTATCAAGAAAACCAACCCATAGAATTTCATGATGTGTTTTGATTACTCAAACAATAGGAGCATTTATGTGATTTCCCAAGAATTTGTACCATTTAATGACCATCAATCATTACATTTTTTGCATACTTAAAAGAATTTAAACTGGATGCAGATGAGGGGGGTTGTATTTCTCCAACTGTTTACTTTTGAGCTGAAGCATAAATCAAAACTTGGCAACTGGGTTGTGGACACGCTAAATTGTGAACGAGCATTCCAGTCACTGCCCAATCTCACAGTGCAGGGATGGAAACAGTTTGCAAGAAAAAAACATCGAAGATGATTTTCAAATTTCTTGGCCACAGTGCGTCAACCACTTGGCCGTTGGTGATTAGTTAACCCAACAATGTTTTCCTTTTCAAATTCGATTACATTAGTATACCAAATAGCTCTCTTTGGCAACAATTTCTTAATGAAATACACAGTGGGGTTATCTTGTCACACACATAGGAAGAGATAAGGCAATTTCCCTTCTTCAAGCTAGATTCTTTTGGCCCAGGCTTCGTCGCGATGTTTGTTGATTTGCTGCGTACTGCCTTGTCTGTCAAGCATTCAAAGGCACTCCTCAGTGCACCAAACTCTGCACTCAGTTACCAAATCCAAACTCAATTTGGGAAGACCTTAGCCTTCTTTGGGTTTTTAAAAGCAATTGAGGTATTGACTCTATTATGGTAGTGGTAGATAAATATTCGGTGATGGCACAGTTCATTATCTGCAAGATGTCTTTTGATAATGTTAAAGTCGATATGCTATTCTTTAAAGAACTAGTCTGTCTCCATGATATTCGCAGGATCATAACTTCTGCCTGAGACAAGTTGCTGAATTATGGAATTGACTATGAACTGAACTTAAGTTCAGCTTGGCATACCATCCCCTTTGGGATTGTCAAACAGAAGTGGTGAATCACAAACTGGGAAACATGATCTAGTAATACAGGTAACCATCCAAACCAACGGGGCGGCGTACTTGGTTAAGCTGAATTTGCTTTTAATGCTATGGTAAATAGTATTACGGGGAAGGTTCCTTTCAACATGTTGTATACCAAAGAGCCAAATCATACCATAATGTGGCTATACTAAATTCTAGGAGATCTGGCTACTAAGACAATGAATGAATTTGATCAGATGTTAAACAACGTGTAAGATAAAATTGCTGATAGCAATCAGAAGTACAAGCAATGGGCTGATGAACTCTACAAGGAAAAAGGTTTTCAATGGTGGTGCTCTTAAGATGATTCATCTCTGTGAGGAGTGATTTGCCATGGTATCTTACTCCAAAGCTGAAACCCAGAAAAATTGGGTCATTTTCTATTGAAACATGAATTAATGATGATACTTAATATTGTCACTTCCTCCTAGTCCGAAAATCCCCTCTTCTGAACCAGAGGGGAGCGGATGCAGTGGAAGCTCTCATTCTGGTTTGGATTTTAATATTCGTACTGTTTGAACTATTAAAATCCCTATTAGTATTTTAGTTTTATTCACATTTACACTAATTATTATTAGTGCTGTTAGTGGAGGCATATATGTAACCGTTTAAGCAGGTTTGAGACTACATTTTCAATATTACATTTATAGCTGAGCATTCCCTTTTCCGTTAGTTTATGCTTTTTCAGTTCCTTTGCTTTCAGCTGTGTCCCTGGCTCCTCACTAGTCAGTATAGAAACATGTTGAAAATTTTACAAAAATAGAAGATAGGAGCAGCATGTCACGGACTAACTTTCCTCAAGTCACCCGTGCGGCTTTAGCGCTCTCTCTTAGCACTAAATCAGCCTAATCACTCACAACACTGGACTTAGCAGCCCCAAGCACTCTTAAGAAGAAGAATAGAGAGAAAGGAATAATTAGCACTTGAATACTAGAATGCTTTGATTCAATGCTTGGGTAAATACAAATGAGGGGAGGAGCTCCTATTTATAGCCTCCTCCATGCCTTTGGCCTTTCATCTAGCCAATGTGGGACTATACAATGTCCAAGAGAAGCTTCTAGATTACAATATAATATTCTATCTCTTAGACTATTCTAATGTACATAAATAACTCTAGAACATTCTAGGTTATTCTTAGATCCTCTTTAGAGCTTTTCCTTCTTGCTCTCCCCTGAACGTGGTGGAATCTTCTAGAGCCCCTTTGATGACTCCTCATATTCGGACCTTCTCTAGAATCTTCCATCCTCTGTTCGTCTCGATGATTTCTCGAATGTCGCGGAGCGTGACAAGCAGCTCCCATTTTACTGGCAAAACACCTTTCATTATCTGCATCAAATCTTTGCTACTAAGGTTTTCACGCACTCTTATTACTGAAAAGTTTTTTTTTTCTTCCTGTCTGTACCTTATTCAGTGAACTCTTCTATTTCTACTTTGGAGAAAATCAGGCAACTTCGCAAATATGGATGACATCAGATTGCTAGAGTTTTCTTACACCGCTTCACTAAAGCATTGCCGTCATTTCATGCAAATTGAAATAGAAATAATGAAAGCTACAGTTATTATAGTTTCACTTGAAAAAGAAATTGGAATTACTCTTTTTATGAATGTGTAAGCTGTGGCTATTTTTTAAAATGTAATTTAAGAAAGTTTTGTTGATTTTTGTCATCTATTCATTCTAATTATCTGTTCCAAGTTTGAGAAAAATATAACAATTATTACTGCTTCGGTAAGGTATTCTGCTATGTGCATTCGTGCATGTATATTTTGGACCTTCTTTTCATTGATCTTATCTATGTTTGTTTTATGCAGAAAATTTAAAAAATGATAAAAGCCTTATCTGATGGGCTGGTTCATAGGAGATTGTGCCCATGTGGTGATGACCGATGCTATATCAGGACCGAAGGGGAGGAAGCATGTTCAGCCTTTGACTCAATGGAATCTGGGGACCCCAACTATTTGGTGGAAGGAACGCACATTTCATCAGAGATTGCCATGAACATTCCTCCACCATTTGTTGGGCAAACTTTCCATAGCGATGAAGAGGCCCTCAAGTATTATACCACCTTTGCTCGAAATAATGGCTTTCTGGTTAGGCGAGAACGGTCAAAGGGGAATCCCGAACATCCAATGGGAGTTTACAAACGTGAGCTTGTTTGCCACCGTGCAGGACTTCCTTTGCTTAGAAAATCCGATGATGTGAAGCGACAACGGGGCAGAAAAGCCTCACGCTGCAAGTGCGAGGCACAAATGGTTATAAAGAAGAATATTTCTGCAGGAGTTACTAAATGGATGGTGCTTAATTTTAGCAATGTTCATAATCATGAGCTGATGGATTGTAGAGAAATACCATATCCTCAGCGAAATAAAGCGGCAGTTGAAAGGGATCGAATTCTTGCTCTTGCAAAGGGTGGTTGCACAGAGTCTCTTATATCGAAGACTCTCGAGATGGAGAGAGGGGCAAGTGCTGATCGGTTGGCATTTGGTGAGAGGGATGTGAAGATTTTTCTTCAAGCGTCCAAGAATATTAATCGGGAGAGCGAAGGGTCAGAGCTTCTTAAAACTTGCAGAGCAATGAAGGAGAAGAATCCCGATTTTCGCTATGATTTCGTATTAGATGAGAACAATAAGCTCGAGCATATTGCCTGGTCTTATGCTAGTTCTATACGTGCATTCAAATTGTTCGGTGATGTCGTTGTTTTTGACACTACCTTTCATCTAAATGCATATGATAGGCCCGTAGGTGTATGGTTTGGGATTGATAATTATGGACACACTATATTCTTCTGTTGTGTCATTTTGCTGGATGAAAGGCCAGAGTCATTGACGTGGTCCTTACAGGTAAATTATTTCCTTTCCCATTCTATGAGGTCAATAAAATTTAATTATTATTTTTGCTCATTTTATTTTTCCATCATCAAGGCATATTGCGATCAGTGTTATCAAATATGCTAGGCACTAAGTTGATGTGATTGCCAATGCCTGAACTGCTTTGTGCAATCCTAGGCGTTTACCCGAGCAAAATGAGGCAATAAAAACACATACATCACTTGTAAAGCTAATTATAAGTATGATGAATACTTTTTACAATTATTTAGTGATAATCATCACATTAAAGTAAGACAAATAAAATCATGAAGTTTAAGCCTCCATTTTATTCCACCTTGTTCAAATTTTTTATCAAATAGATTATTTTAAACAAATGTAGTAAACCATTTAAGTTTGTTGCATGCAATTTAATTTTCACCACATTCAATTCCATCTTTGTCAGTATTCATTCCGTCTTTTTCATTATTCCCTCTGCCTCTCTGTTTCTCCTAAAGATAATATTCTTTATCCTCAAGATTCACCACTCAGGAAGAAAGTATTTTACTAAACATTTGTCTAAATTATTTCCAGGTGTGCATCATTTACCCTTGAAGCTCTTTTCAAATTATTTTATATCAATTCGTCATCATGATAACTGAACCCACTTTGTGTTTAAGATTTCATCTTTCATCTTATTAAATCAAGGCAAGACAAATGTCTTCCAGCCTGAAGCCTTATTGCAAGGCCCTCGCTTAGGCATTCCTTAGTAATGGCGCTGGCCTAGGAGGTGTGTGTGTTGGGCACTATAGCCTCATCTTGTTTTGCTCAAGCTCTTAGATGAGCGAGAGCCATGGATTCTGACAAATTTGTTGTCTTTACCACAGGCTTTTCTCCGACTAATGGATGGAAAGTTCCCACAGACAATATTAACTGACATGAATACGAGGCTTAGAGATGTAATGTTGACCCACCTTCCCAATGTCAAGTACGCTTTCTGTATATGGCATGTAATATCCAAGCTACCAAGCTGGTTTTCTGCTTTACTTGGTGCTGAATTTGATAGATTTAAAATTGAGTTCCAGAGGATGCGTGATTTAGAGAATATGGAGGAATTTGAGGATCAATGGGCCAATATGGTCATGGATTTTGGCATTGGGGAAGATAAGCATGCATCTCTTCTTTATTCTAACAGGTTCTACTGGGCTTCACCATACTTGCAAGGTTGGTTTTTCGGCGGTTTATTGACGGTCAGTCATTTGTCATGTATTCAATCACTTTTTAAAGGGTTTCTGCACTTGCAGACCCGTCTAAAGGATTTTATAGAACAGGTGAAAAACTTTGAAACAGATCTTGACCCAAGGGTCTGTTTGGGGCAGCTGTAGCTTATTGAATAATTTGCTGATAAGCTGATTAAAAATAATCTACTGATAAGCTAGGAGCGGTGGCTATTATAAATTTTTATTTTTTTGGAAAAGCCAGACCACAGCCAGAAAGCTCCCACCAAACCTAGATAGGTGAGGTGTGAAAATGTTATTTTGCCGCACCTATCTAGATACGTGTGGCGTGAAAACGATGTTTTCAAGGTTTTGAAAACGCACAAGCTGCCAAAACGCAGTTTACTCAAATAGGCTAAGGGCGGTTTTAAAAAGCCACCCCACCCAAAAAATAAGCTGCCCCAAACGGGCCCTTGAATTGCTTTCTTTCATCTCCTTGCCTAAAGTTCTCAAGGCTTAGGCGTTGATCCTTTCCACAGGTGGGTGTTGCAGTTGATTTCCAGAATCAGGCAGGAGAAGAGGCCACATCGCGAGAAAATCAACAGACTGTCAATCTTAAGACTTGCATGCCCATTGAAGAACATGCATCAACAATTCTTACACACTACGCCTTTGGCATGTTTCAGAAGGAAATAATGGCATCAGCCCAGTTTGCAGTTTATGAAACAACGGCAGAGAATTACCTTGTAAGACACCATGCCAAGTCTGATGGAGGGCATTTTGTCAGCTGCGTACCTTCAGACGAATATGTTCACTGCAGCTGCAAAGGATTTGAAACCAATGCCATATTATGCAGGCATGCTCTTCGAGTTCTTTCATTGAAGAATTGCTTCTTCATTCCTGATAAGTATTTGTTGACTCGTTGGCGTCGAGAAAGCTCACTTTTTCCAAAATGCAGCAGCCACAAGTATCGTTCGCAAGCACTGCGGTCTCTTGCTTCGATTATAATCCAGGAATCTGCGTTAACAAAGGATCGTTTTGATTATGTGGAGTGGCATCTGAGCAGAATTCTAAGCCATGTTAGGGAGATGCCAGCCATTGATTTAACTGCATCAAATGTGGAGCAAATTTCAGGTTTTGATGATGTGGTAGATATTGCTACTGCGCCATCAATCACTAGAGGGAGACCGAGAAAAGTAAAACAATTTGTCAAGCCAACAAAGGAAATGCATGCGTCATCTTAGGGCTGCTTATATTCTTCCCTTTCAATTCTGCCGTTCTTGCAGGAAGTAAATATAGGCTTATGGGTAATTTCTTCCCTGTTACTCTTGAAAATTAGCATTTTGGTTGGAGGACTATAGTGTGATTAGGGAATATTATAATGATGCTTAATTGTCTTCTGAAATTGTTTTTGGTTATATTCGTGTGTGACCCACTGCAAGAAAAAGAAAGAATAACTGCTGCAGTTTTGAGGCACAGTAACCTGTTTAAAATTGCAGGTTGGGTCTTGTATTGTGCTTAGTCTTTAAAAGAATAAAAAAATGTTGTACATTTTATTTATTTATTATGCATTAATTTTTTTGGGATATAATTATTTCCTTACATACAATAGTAGACAACATATGATCAATGTTAAAATATTTGTCCTTTTAAAACATTGGAGGTAAAATGATATGACACACTGATTAGTGGAAAGATTGTTGATTCAAGGATGTATAGTATAATTTACGGTTTTACACTTTAGAAAAAATTGTAGAAATTTAGTGTTGAGAATATTTTCTTAATAGCAGTAACTAGCCGGTTTTAGTCGTCAGTAGGAAACTGAAATGGATTGCTTAGATTAAACTGAGAGCTGTAGCTTGGGGAAAGCTTGAGAATATTATTCATCCATGAGAACAGCCATGTGTAGAGAAAGATAAAATATATTGAGGGGGAAGAATCTTTTAGAGTGGCCAAATACTCAAACCGTAGAATCATATACTTAGGATACCATCCTGCAAGTTGATGGTTCTTTGGGAGAACTGTTGTACAGAATTGATGTTTTGAGAGTGCTTTTGTAAGGATACCCGCTTGTTAATTTCAGGATTGAATGTGTTGCGTGGTCCAAATATGACAGAATTGATGTTTTGAGAGTGCTTTTGTAATGATACCCGCTTGTTAATTTCAGGATTGAATGTGTTGCAATTTAATATGATTTAGTTGAATATGATCATGTCAGAAGTGATAGACAATCTTTATATGTTTGGTTCTCGCATGAAATATAAGATTGTTAACGAAGGAGATCGCAGATATGTTATCACAGTATAGAGTTGTTGGTTGAGTGATCGGAATTCCAAATTCCTCTATAAGGCACTTGAGCCATATAATTTCCGATATAATTTCCGTAGTTGTCATCGCTAAGGCATGATATTCAGCCTCCGTAGAGGATTAAGCTAGAGTCAACTGTTTCTTGACTTGCCAAGTTATAAGTGTATCACCAAGGTAGGAGCACGTACCTATAGTGGATTTGCATGTTCGTACCCTCGAGTTACTTTCATTAGGCACTCAGTGATTATGTTCCGACAAGATCATGTTGAATGCATTTAATGAGAAGGGACTGGGTCCATAACCCTTCCTCTCTAATTTGGAGAGTTCAAAAGTGAAGCTAAGTTCCACGTCATTGATGGGAGCACGTCCTTTAGAACCTTGCTCAGCCGCTCCAGATGATGTTTAGCCTTTTTTTTGGTGAACAAATTCAACATATACAACGATGTCGAATATTATGCTCCTCATAGCAAGGTGTCTCTACCCACTTTGAATGTTGTGGGACGTCCACAAACTCCTCTTCTTACTAGCTCTTGCCTTGTTAAAGGTAAAGGCACAACGAAGCGGGAGGAAAGACGTACCCTACTTGCTCGGGAGCCAACTAAAAACCTCCCTATCATGCCGACCTCTAAGGTAAGGATAAGTGTTTAATCATATATTGTTTCTGAGGTAGAAGAAGCCTTGCTGATGGACGAGCCTGGAGGTTGACATGATGACAATCAAGATGACACCGATGAGGAAATCTTTTGGTTACCTTCAACGGTCATGGTCACTTGTTTGTCCAAGTTATCCTTAGTAGGCAAGGTGCTGACTATCGATCTAGTACCACATGGTTATCACATGGATATGATGGTTGCAAACGCTTCTATCGTTGAAGACCTCAAAACCTTTTATGTACCTCCTAGATCCAAGTTTAAGGAGAAATGCATTTTGTTTTATAAAGTAGATTCTCTTCTAAACAATAATGATGTAATATATTTAAATGATGATAATGAAAAATAGAGGATATTCCTCTTTCTTATTATTGTTCGCCTCTCATCTCTAAGCTTTTTGTTGCCCGCGAGGTGGTTTATTTGCCAAGCCTAATTATCCAAGACTATGTGGCAGAATAGATCCTCAGGGGACAGATTCAAGTTAGGATACTTCAAAATGCCAGGCGATGCTAAGATACCCAATGCCTCATGCATGATGATTTCCATATCTCACAATAGAGAGATCTTTACCTCACATGAGGAGGAGGTCAAGTAAAAAATGCCCCTGATGAATTGGAGGATAGTGTTTCTTCAACCGTCGATGAGTTGATCGAGATCAACTTAGGTATAGTTGATGATCCCTGTCCCACATTCATTAGTAAATTTCTATCAATTTCTATGGTCGGCAAGGTCGTAGAGATTATCAAGGAGTTTCAAGGCTACCTTGCCTGGAGCTACTTTGAGATGCCTAGTTTAGATCTGGAGGTGTTCGTCCACAACCCAGCTATTGATCCGAGTGTTGTTCCTATCAAAAACACCTCGGATAATGTGGCTTGAAATAAAGTTGATGGTCAACAAAGAGACCAAAAGTCTCCTACCCTACGTGGCTCACAAACATCGTACCCATTCACAAGAAGAGTAGACATATATGAGCTTGCATCGACTTTTGAAACCTAAACAAATCCTACCCAAAAGATGATTTTTCTCTGCCTATATTAGAGTTGATGGTAGATGTCACGTCATCACATGCGATGTTCTTCTTCATGGACGGTTTATCCGGTTACAATCAGATCTGGATGGCCCCAGAGAAAGAACAACATTGTGTTTCATATGCCTATAGACATTTTTTGCTACAAGGTCATGCCCTTCAGCCTCAAAAAATGTCGAGGCAACATACCAGCGTGCTATGACGTACATCTTCAATGGCTTGCTACATCATAAAGTCAAATGTAACATCGACGACATAATTGTTAAGAGCCGTTCTGAAGATGATCATTTCTCAGATCTAAGAACCATCTTTGAGCGCCTTAGAAAGTACGAGCTGAAGATGAACCCATTGAAGTGCGCCCTCGGCATTTATTCTGGGAAATTTCTGGGCTTCATAGTCCGATATAGGGGTATTGAGATTGACTCTCGTAAGATCAAATCCATTATATGGATGGAACCTCCTAAGATCTTAACACAACTGCTTGACCTCCAAGGGAAGCTTGCGTTTATTAGGAAGTTTATTTCGAATCTCTCTAGAAATTGTCAGCCTTTTTTCTTCCTTAACCAAGAAGGACGTCTGCTTTTATTGGGAAAAGGCATGTCAGGACACTTTCGACGATATCAAGCATTACTTGTTAAATTCGCCATTATTAACTGCTCACACCCAGGGAAACCCCTTTTTTCTGTTTATCAACGCTCTTGACAAGTTGGCAGGAGCATTGTAAGCCCAAGTTAACGAGGATGGGAAAGAAAACGCCTTATATTGCCTTAGTCGGCATTTCATCCCAGTTGAAATGAAATATCCTTGTTCGGTGTTAATATTTTTAGTTCAAAAACTGAGGCATTACATGCTCTCGCATCACATCTATTTGATCTCAAAGGTGAACCCTTTGCAGTATCTGATGACTCGCCCCACTCTAGCTAGACGATTGGCGAGCTAGAGTGGGGCGAGTTGGTCTGCTCCTATCGTAGGTTGACATATCCTATTTTCATTTTTCTAAGTGATTGCTAAGCAATATATCTATATTTCAATCCCCATTTATGAATCTTTTTTGTGTAGATTAAGACTCTATCAATATATTTAACCTTCTCTAAATGTTAAACAAAAGTGCGTCCATCAATAATGTTAAATGAAGTTGGAAGAAACATAAATAAGTAATTTATTTCTGTGTGCTATGAGAATGTATCCACATAAATTGACATATTATTCACAAATTCAAAAGAAAGGAGCCCTAACCTAGCATGTTTTTATAATGTACTACAAAAAATCTTTCATATCATCATAATTATAAAAAAATTACATGCAAATTCAACAACAAGAAATCAAAATACAAAAGAAACAAAAATCCAAAGATTCATAGATTGAAGCATCCCTCTCCATTTTTTCCTTAACCTCTTCATTATTTCTTCTTTGCTTCACCAGGCGAAGTAGCACTCTTCGCTCAACTTCACTCGCACACTCACACACTCACAATACTATACAATGTTGCACTCTCCCACCAATACACTCAACTTTAAATTGAAATTCAAAATGAATAATTGTTTCTAGTAGGGTCATTGTATGAAACAATCTAGGTACAATTCTGTGACATTGAGACTGCACTACCATGCATAAGGTCTAGGGCTACAATGCTAAGCTTTTATCTTTTAGCTCCTTAATCTGGTATCAATAATATTGTGGTGCTTTAGAGGGTATGCTGAGGCACTACACTCAAGCAATGTGGTGATGGGTCATTGGCACTGCAATGATAAGTGTGCAAAATGATGTAGTTCGGTGTGATTTTTCTTATATTTTTGCTCTATTTTTGTACTTTTTAAATGGCATATATTGTGTATTTGTGTAGTATACAATCATGAAATAGCATTTGGAGAAGAAGTGTGAAGTGGTGGCTAGTGTCCAAATGCTATATTTGTAGTGCCCCATTTATTGATAGTGCCATAGCATTTAGAAGGCAACGCCATCGAGCTCAATCCAATTTCGAAACATGAGAGCATGACACCGTAACACCTGGATGCAACACCCCAACACCCAATTAGAGCGCCACGATGTCACATGATGATGCCCGTAAGTAACATGGTGTAGTTTCCAAATGATGTTGATGATTTTGCTGACATGGATTTGTAATTCCTTATAAGGGCTAGTCTCAAATAACCAAAAATGCTTTGAAAATCTCTTTCAGTCCCTTAAACACTGTTGGAGACTCTTGTATCTTAGACTCTTAGACCTCTCAGGTGACTTGTAGGAGTGCTGTGAGGTGTGTGCCCTTGTAGTGAGTGAGATTTGATAAGTAAAACAAGCAGAATAGCAATTTGTAAAGGAAGATTGGCTTGGAGCAAGGAGATTTTATTATGCTTTTTCTATTTTCATCATAAGCTTTAAAGTTTATTTCATTATCATTCTATTTGTTATATTTCTTTTCATTCATGAGTAGGAACTAAACTATTTTCTTCTTTGAATTGGTTATGTAAAGATCGTCGTGAATCCATGCGAGAGTCTCGAGTAATTACATATTAGGTTGACATCTTAACCTTTTAAATTGGTCATTTGATTTTTTAAAAACTTTTTCTGATCTACGACCGTCAAAAAGAAGACTAGA